TTCAAACTTAGTACAGTTCGCAATAGATTAAGATCAAATCAAAAAAGGTAATTCTGGACTTAAATGTAATTAATAGCCAAATTACTGTTGAGCACAGAAAGTCTGTCCTTAGCTCCACCCCAGAAAATTACGAGGGCTCACAACATCCAGAGACATTAAAGTCTCTAACTTCTTGGAGTCCCACTGAACCGAAAAACTTATGAAATTAAATAAAATCTGGATAGAGTAAAAGGCGAAATCAAACTAAGAAAGAGCCAAAAACTATGTTGAAACAAAAACTGAATAAGGAGAAAAACTAAGAGAAGAAAAAGATCAAGTGAGATTTTGCACAAAAAAAAAAACTCGATATGGTCGGCGAGTGGTGCTCACCGCAATTATTTAATTACACTCTGACTATGCAACACTCTGCATTGGGCTGTGCGCCTTCCACCCCGCGTGGACTCCACTCCACGACGGATTTTGGGTTTAATCAAAGAGCCAACCAAGTCAAGCACAACAACACACAAGCGGAGAGAGCCAGCGTGAAACCGAAACTTTTTGTTCAAACTTTCGAGGCAGCCAAGCAAAGCGGACCCGGACATCATTGGTTGCCCAAAGCATTGGTGGTATAAAGGTAGTCGGGTGGGGTGGGGTGGAGTGGTGTGTGCGGAAGAAGTATAGAGGGGCAATGAAGCAATGAAGGGGCGCCCACATACAGACAACCCTACAATACTTACGTAGATACCACTGACCTACGAGCCGACCTCCCAATTCGTATCGCTAATGATGATCAAATAACGACCAAATGTCGACCAACTCACACACAGAGCAACACAGATGGGCCATATGTATACTCGTACAGACAAAGGGGACACAAAATCGTTAGCCCAGTTGGCAGGGCACCAGCAAAGTTTGTGCACTCTCGCCCTTTAACTGTGTCACGGTTTGGTCGAGGCAGCAGCTTCTTCTCCAGTCGCGGTCTTGCTCTCAGTCCCGGTCTCAGCCAGAGCTCAGCGTCAGCCTGAAACGCAGCTACTATCCTCACATTGCCATTGCATTGCCCCTTTTCGGTGCTCCTTCCTCTGGCGTAATGAGCAGTATTTTACTTTTTATAACCGGTACTCGAACAGTATATAGGGTATATTGTATTTGTGCACAAAGTGCATGTATGTAACGCACAGAAGGAAACGTTTCCGACCCCATAAAGTATATATATTCTTGATCAGCATCAATAGTCGAGTCGATTGAGCCATGTCTGTCTGTCCGTCTTGTTGAGCGCCTGGATCTCAGAGACTTCCAGACTTCTGTATGCTCACACTGTTACAAGTGTATTTAAAAAATGAGCCCCGCACTATTCCGCCCACGCAAAAACGCCATTCCGTAGGGAATGACCATATCTATCAGATCAAATTGGGATCCGGTTGGACTATTATTATAGCCAGAATGAAGAAATTAATATGCAGTGCTAAGCCCACCCCGCCCGCAGCTTATATATGTTTTTTTCACATTCTCTCATTCACACCCTGCTTCTGCTGTGTGCGGCCACTGCCTCTGCCTCGAGTCTGCAGTGTGTGGGGTATGGAAGGGGGGTGAGCTAAAGGAGCGTGTTGGTGTGAGAAGTGTTGTAGATTTATATGACAGATGAAGAAAAATTGTAAAATTTGACAAGACACCGATAAGGTGCAGATGTAGTACTGAGTGCAGGGTATAAAAGTTTTGACTCGTAAGAAGCGTCTCACACGTCCCTTCTCGTTTTTTTTTTTGAAGAGAAAGAGAGAGAGAGTTGTCTGGGTATTCCAAATGATATGCAAATACCAAACAATTTGCAATGAACTGACTGCCGCTTTGAGGTCCTTTTTGATTAGAGCTTGATCAGTGAGCAATAGAGCACTCACTTATTTAGGATAATACTACTGCACATACAGATGAATATATGTACATATGTATATTCGTACATACGGATTCAAAATTAGTTTTCTAGTGCCAGGAAATATTTTATAACTATTCCACTGAGGTATATGCAATAACTATTCAACTAAGGTTTAAGGAAACCCAAAAAATGCCCATATATTTCCCTCCCATAAATATGCAATCGAGTAATATATCTCCATATACTATGTACATAAGTATGAATGAATAAATGTACCATCAGATCCGCTTAATTCTGACTCAGTAATAGTTCTGTAAAACTTGTTCAACTTGCACCCATGTTAATCAATATATACACATCTCCTTTCCACTATTTGGCACCTAAAACATATGGCAACATTTTCCCTTTTGGCCTAGAAATAACATTTCATTTGAACGAAAAAACAAAAATGAAGAAACGTAACCAGAATAATAAATAATATTTCCGAAACAGTTCTGAACATATATATGTACCTCCATATATATACACACATGCACAACAAAATAGCCACATGCATAAATATTTTTAGGATCCACGTGAATAACCGCTCTAAAAAAGCCTTTAATAGGAGTAGCCTATAATTTATGACAACAGAAAAAAAATATAGAAATGAATACGCACACATGCCCTTCATCACTCAGTCATCGGTCCGTGAAAGTGCAACCATAAAATATGCAACACAAAAAATTGTTTTCGTAAATATGCGGATCCAAACTCAACCGAAAATATGTCTGCGAAAATCAATGCAAATGATAATGTAGTAGTGTGTGCATCATGCCAGCAATCAGAGAGTGAGCAGTTAAATAAGCTTTGATACTTAAATTGCGTGGGATCAAGGGATGCGTATCACAGTTGCTAGTATTATTTATTTGTAGCTATGGGCATGCAGTAGTTTTTTGGGTCAACGGGTTACTGTCAGCATTACTGATTGAGAGGAAGGAAATGGAAATGTATTCCTTGAGTTTGCGTTTGGACTTATTCTTATTCTTATGGTAAGGATTCTATACGATTTTTTCGTTGAGGTTTTAGCTTACCTGATCGCTTTGTGCTGTCTCAGTCACCGAAACATCATTACCAGACATTTTTTCGGAACTTAATTATATGAATCTCTGCGTTTTATTGTGCATCAAGCTTACTTTACAGCTGTACTGGAAAAAATGCATTTTAGATGCAATGAAAAACAATTTTTTACATCATTTTTTGAGTTTAGTTTCCTGTTCTGCAATTCTCATTTGACATATTTCCGTTTCCGTATTTGTTCCGACATTATGGTCTCGCTTTATTCATTGCAAAAAATTGTACATTGCATATGCACTTTGCCCATGTGTATGTACATATGTACTTTCCAAAAATTGCATGTGTTTCACAATGATTTTATATGTTTTTGTATTTCTATATTCTAACTGATTCAAGAATTCAATGGAATTACTTTTTGGTCATTTTGCTTTGGTTTATTAGGCAATAAAATGTTTCTCATTCATGCCTTCTTTTGAACAACCTTTACAGCTGTTTTTAAATTAAATTTTGTAGAAATACATTTCACATTCCTTTGATTCAGGGCCCCCAAAATGTATAAGAAAAAAATACCTCCCACCCTGCCTGTCACATAATGCAAATTGAACAATTTAAACGAGCAAACAAAAAAGCATGAAACTCCAATTGGGACTGAAATGAAGACGAACCCTGGAGGAGAAGATAGTAGGATATTTTAGGGGCACACAGACTGCCAGAACGCGCTTCGTTTCGCTTCGGTTCGTTTGTTCTCCGGCGCATTGCACATACATAACTCGTAGCTCATACGCCACTTTGAGCGCCGCTGAGAATGGCCACGTTTACACTCGTAAATGTTTGTTTGCTTATTTGTTTGTTCGGTTGCCTGCCCGGCTGACTGTCTGGCTGCCTGTCCTCCCGGTGGCTTGGCTGCGGTTTTCAATTGTCAGCCCCAGTGCCAACCGCCAACAAACAACAAAGCGATGAGAACGGGCCGGGAACCCAAGAACCCAAAAAGGAAAAAGTTAAATAAATAAGAAATACCAAATAAATTGAATTGCGTAGCAGCGTATTAAGGTGAATGGGGCAAAGCGAACTGGAAAGAGAGATACGAGAGCAGGAGAAGATGCTCCAAGGGGAGTGGAACCAAGTACAGAAAGAACAAATGTGATAAATGGTCTATATTGTAAAAAGAAAAGATGGTAGGAGAGGACAGCCCCAGTACTCTCGAGGCCAATGGAAGAGTTTTAACGTTCAAACAGCAAAAAATGGGATTGTACTTCGATTATCTGGCTAAGAGATTTGACCAGGTTGTGTTTGATTGAACAAAGGCGTTAAAAGCTTGAGCAGAATATTCTCTGCCTTCTGTCATATCTGAAATCGCCTTAGAAGTAGTTAGTATTGGCTGTAGACCAAAAAAAAAAATGTTCCGCAAGGGAAAATTTACTAGCACAAAATGCTTTTATAAGCCCCGAATAAATCTGAGACTTTGTTCATTAAGCAATTTTCAAGCTGACCAAACGAAATGTGTATGTTTCCCAAACACAAGCCCAAACCCAAACAGGAACCATTTAAGTTCATTAACTTGAGGTTTGCCAGGAATTTGGTTTCTTATCGTGTTGGTCCCAGATGTGGGGCTATCTGGATTCATTAAATATTAACGAGTTTAAAAGCGGAAAGTAATTTGTTGTTTTGGAATGTGGAATTACAACAATTTGTGTATAAGTGCTGTCAACTTTTAAATCGCCCAGCCACTGCTAGTCCAGAATTTCCAATGTGCTCGCTGAGAGACTGTTTGTTTTTTAATTTGGGCATTTGTCAAGTGCGAGAACAACACATTGCAAGTGGCAACCGGGAGGCTGCTGCTGGGCAAACAATCAGAAATCGAAGGTGCATGGACCAAGGGATACGGCATTGGAACAAAAAAGGATGCGAAGCACTGGCAGCTAATTTTGGTCGATGATATTAAAAGGGTTGAATATAAATGAAATGGCAAACAGGATTTCTGGCAAATCTTTATTTATTTAAATATGCAAACAATTTATCTGTGCCATTTCGGTTGTCTGGAATCTGGGTAGCACTGCTATATGATATTGTAGATATATTACCAGTTCTACATCTATCGAGCACCCTCGTAACGATACATTTTTATTTACATGACGTATTGAAAGTCTAACAAAATTCCATTTTAAAAATCGTCTAAATTCAGAACTCTGCAGAAATACTCAGTAGCTCTTTCAAAGGAATTATGTCCGAAAACAACACAGAGTACACCTCAGAGGAGACAACAGGCATTCCGATGGCTCTCAGTCTCGTGCTGAATCACAATGACACAGATTCAAGATCGGTGGCAGTAGCGCTGTCGCCGTCTACTACTTCCGTGGCTGCCAGTGGGGGAGCGAGCTCGGAGACCAGCTCAGTGCTTGAGTTGCGACAGGCTTTCTCCAGCCTCAATGAGAGAGATAGGCTCAGGGCAGAGAGCTCCAGGACCAGTTCGGAGACATCGGACGATGCGAGTTTGCCACCATCCAGGCCGCGCAGACCGACCTTTATGAGCCGCTCGACCTCTCTTTCGAGCCTGCAGACACTTTCGTCCTCATCGATATCGCGGCAGGGTCACCTTCCAATCGATAGCGACGGATATTCGGGCTTGAGACGACACATGTCCGAGCTGAGGCTAAGCCTCGACCGATCTTTAAGTCAATCCCAACGACATCGCTTGCAGCGTCACCGCCGTCTCCAGGCCGATCAGATGAGTAGCACCGCCACTTCGGAGAACGATGAGAACGAGTGGTTTGGCCGCATACCTCAATCGGCACCAGGACGTGTCCCCACGCGCGGCAATAGCATCAGCGACTGTAGTCAGTGCAGCAGCGATACGAAAGAGAAGGACAGCCTGAAGATGGTGACTCCAAATCATCAGGAACTTGACGGATGGCTCTATTCGCTAGAGGTTTAAAGAGGGAGGCTCTGGAGGTGCTCCCTTTAAAGTTATCAGACCCAAAGTTTGTATGCAATGCTCTGCTGTAAGCTTTGATAATTAGTTTTCAGGTCTCAGGGAAATAGAGTCCTGTTTTTGGCACATATTTCGTTTTGTTATAATAATGTTGATTTTCCTGGGTTAGTATCCACTAATTGTACGATCTTTGTTTAAGCCAAAACCTACGACGCCAAAAATGACACACGTTTTTCGTAGCCAAGTTGGGTGTCAGGACCAGGATCTTCGGACCGAAGGGGTTGGCTGCCTGAAGAGTTCTTCACTTTGTTCGATACTGACTTCTTCTGCTTTGTTTCGCATCCTAAGCATCACTTCATATGTGTGCAAGTGTTTATAAAGTGCAGAGTTCGACGGGGAGAGGATTCGGAGTCTGTCGAGGAAAAATTAATGCATTCGCGGCATGCCACACAACACTTGCTGCCGGCCGCAACATGCGCCAGACTATCAGCAGTAGATGCACATGCTTCAGCCCAAGCTGGAGTCCGGTCCCATTCACCTCCCCCTTTTTCTACGCCAGTCACTAGATGAATGTATACACTACAATGTGGCATGTGTGGAAGCTAATATGTTGGTTGGCAGTGTCGCCTCTTGGATCCCTTGAAAAATGCACTGACATGTGTCACAGCTGCAGCTGCTCCTTCTGGTCTCCTGAAGGGGACGTGTTGATGTGCTGAACAATATAAATAAAAAGGATTAACTTGCATAGCAAAAGAGATACGGCGGAGTGGGAGGGCCATGGAGCTTGGACAAGGCAGCGCTTAGGATACGTATAAATTTTCCCGAGACTCGGTATTGGTCGACGAGTACCAAATGTATAGCTCACACTCGCCCATATGGCTTCACACAATGGCCAACTGTGGCATATGGTTAGAGATTTGTTTCCATTGTTTTCTGAATAAGGCCGACTCAACTATTTAAATTTTAAGAGTGTAATGGAGGTTTGCGGCAAATTATGGCTCTGAAGAAGAAGGGCAACTAGAACACATTATTGGGCTATTTCATAAATTCATTCACACTTGTACAACAGATATTCCACAGGAAATATGACTCTGCCGAAATGGAACTCAATCTGAGGTTTCGATAATATGGAGATCTTTTATAGTAGTTACCTTTAGCCATCACCCATTTGGTTGGAGGCATCCTTCTGGCGACAGGAGGATGATCCAGAGAGCATTTCAGCCAACTGCAACTGCTGCAGTTTTTCATTTTAATAAAAATGCAAATTTCTCTGTCTGTTGAAAGTCAAGGAAGCATCACAATCTTTCTCCTAACTCTTCACTCTATGCCCTACACCCTAATCTTTCTCCTTTCCGCTCTACACTCTCGCTATATCCATATTAAATGCAGCGAAGCTTTTCGATTTTACGCTAAAACGAAAACACCAGCAAAAGCAAACAAACACAAACGCAAACAACTACAAATAGAAGAAAGAGCACAATGAGAGGCGAATGCGAAAAAGTAAGAGATGGAAATAAGTTTTCAATAAGGTCCTTAAGAATGTTAAAAGGGATGAAAGTTGCCCGGGGGGGGGGGGGGGGGGGGGGGGGGNGGGCACTAAGCATTCGTTGCATCACTCAGCTGGGGACATAAGCTGTCTTCGTCTCTCTGTCACTGTGTATACATACATACATATTTACTTAAGTATATGTATATTTGTTTCTCTTTTGCTCAGCGATTCGCCGATTCGCACAAAAGTAGAGGCCGCCAGATGCCGCTCCCGTTAGCATTGTTCTCTTGGCTTTGACTTAATTAATCTAATTGAAATACCCGTAATGCAAGCGACAGATGAGACGAGAGTCACACATATGGCCGGGTTACAGAAACAACAATGGATTGAGACAATGATGCTGGGGGATAAAAAATATCGCAGGTTTCTACAGAATGTGGGAAAACAAAAGGTTCACGGTTTGGTGTGCAGAAGGTGGCAGGTCGACAGGTGATTGAGGAGTCCTTCGATTAAAAAGCATCTTCAGAGAAGCCACCAAGAGAGACTTGGTTGGTTGCAATTGCAGTAAGAAAACATGTATTAGAACTTACGTCATCAGGTTAATGCAGAAGATAATTGAACATAATTCAGACTAAATGCGCAATTTAGTCTCCCCCCAAAAGCGGTTAATACTCAATAGACTGTTACATTTTTAATTTAGAGCATTCGTCGAAATTTTTCAAGACCTCACTTCTTATCCATGGTTGACTTCTTCGTGAATCTCTTCTCTGCTCCACCCGTTGCCAAGGCATTCTTGGCGGCCTCGGCCACGGCATGCGAGGTTCCAGCTCTCTCGGGTATGTCAGTCTTATTTCCTTCCGGCTTGCCGACGAACTTCTCCACAGTGCTTTCGACCTTCTCTGCGTTGCTACCGACAAACTGGGCTAGGGTCACCTTGTTTTTGATGATTAGGAAAGTAGGCATGCTGGTGACCTCGTACTCGATGGCCAGCTCCTCGTGGTCGTCGACATCGATCTTGAGAATAAGCATGCGCCCGGCATACTCGTTGGCCATCTGCTCGAGTCGCGGCCCGATGAGGGCACAGGGACCGCACCAGGTGGCATAGAACTCCACCAGAATATGCTTGTTGCCCGCCCCGCCGATGATGCTATCGAAATTGGTTTTCGACTCGACCACGATTACCTTCTTGGGAGCGCTAGCCATGGATCTGTTTTTCTAAATTTATTTTGGGACTAAATTGAAATGATGTTTGTTCAAAAGTTTGAATTTTTCTGTCTGATTTAATGTCTATTTGCTGTGGCAATGAGTTCTTGGTTGTGTAAGTTTGAGATTTATCTGTGCAATACTTATTTATTTTTGTTGTTGTTTGCCTTTGGGGAAGTTTCTCATTCACTGGATGCACTTTTTGTTAAGGGCCAGCACTTTACACTCTGTTTTTTTTCGGTTAGATTTATTTTCTTTTCACCAAGCCTTGTCTGAACTTTTCCAACTTCCAAACTTCTTTTTTTTTTAATATAATCGCTACAGCGGAATTGGTTGGTCGCAGACGATGAGTCCGCATTGACCAGGTACAAATGTTACTAAACATTTTGAACTCAAAATAGAGTTGTTTACAAACACCAGATATAAAATGAACTTCCCAACTTCGTTTGTATTTTGTATACTCTAACAATGGGATACAGAAAAGGATATAATGACAAGGTTACCAAATTTAAGTAATCTTTACAAAAACCCTTTGGAAAACCTCAATGAATAATGGATAATAAGGTTTCAGCTTAAACCTTATCATATTTTGCATAAAATTCAGAAAATGGCAGGTAAGTTTCGTTGAATATTCAGCATGTCAAATCTTAGAAGGCAATATCTTAGAAGGTATTTTGTAAGAATTTCTTAGTGAGGGTATTTCCGATGCGACTTCCAATGTCTTGTACTAGCATTGTTCTTGGTGTTGGCTGCTTATTTGCCCTGTCATGCATTTGTCACAAATTAAGACAAATGCACCGCAACATCTTGAGTGGCTCCCAGAGGCTCACAGCAGCCCTTATAATACTACTGACATGTTGTGGCATGTGTTTGCTCCCCACAATGCGGGTGTCTGCTTTCTGGTGAGTGTGTTTGCTCAAATCCTTTTTTTGCTTGGTTTTTTGTGTATTCTTGAGTGGTATTCGGTTCTGATTGCTGGTGTCGTTCGAATCCTATTTCAAGTGTATCTTTTGGGTAAATTTAGCGTGTTTTTCTTGTGGCGTTTAAGCTTTCAGTACTTGACATTGAGATTTTCATTAATAATCCTCTGATTCTGTCTGTCAGTGTCAGCCTCTGTCATTAAATCTCTCTACATTTTTCTATTGCATAACCTAATGAGTACGTACGGTCCGCCAGCGCTTAGCCGCCAAAAGCGGCGGAACGAAATGGACTGGAACGGAAATCGCAGTGACATGTTGTGCAATCAGTTTTACATCCGCTTTGAGAGTAGGATTTTTTGTTCTGCCAGCGAAAGTGATGACCTCTCATGAAGCCGAACCTTGACACACAAGCCACGAGGAACGCTAAAAAAATGCGGGAATATGAACAGCAAAAGGAATAACCATCTAGCGAAAATATTAGTATTGAAGTACCTACTAGTCGAGAGAAACAAGTCACGTATCTGGCAAGACAAATTGCTTCAAGTGTACTTTCACTCAGTCATTCAGTCACTCTTCGTCCTCAGTCCTCTTTTGTCTCTCCTCTTGGGCTAGTCAGTTATTCAGCTATTTTTATTGCGCATACACCATGCGGCCTGCATGTGGAATATAGATATGAATGTCTTTTGCGGTCAGCTACAAAATGGGGTCGGCAATAGGGCCTGCCTAGATTATTGTCGCTCTTGTCGCCTTCGGCTGCATGCCACAAATCAAATTTGGCCAGCAATTTTTGTGGCTCACGATCAGAATTCTAAATTAAGTTTGAGTGGTTTTCGTAGGTGATCCGATGTGACAGTTTAATGTTGATGGTAACATGTGAGAAATCCTATCCCTGCCTGTCCCTGCTTAAGAACATACAATTTTCTTCGAATCCCTGCACAGACGAAGCTTTAGTGTGGACCAAATCCATGATCTGATAAAGGGTCATGTACCAACGAAGTTTCCAGGCTTTAGCTCCCCCTTCAGTATGGGTGTGCCATAAAGCTTTTCTGAGCTTTGTTGGCAGGTTAACATATGTTGCTGGATGCCATGCCACATACTCGTAATTGGCTTTTGTTTGTCGGCCATTCGGAGGAGGAACAACATTAGCAGCATTATGGAGACACGTTTAAGCATGTCAATGCCAGATGTTGGCTGACAAAATGATGAACAATCCAAGCACAAAAGACAAACCCAAATACCAACATGGTACACCAGCACCATCACCAACACCAACACCATAAGGCAATTTCATTTAACAAGTTTATGAGCCCTTCCAGGCGACAATGAAAGTCTCATGCATTTAGATTTTGAGTGCGTCGCAGTGCTGCTCCCCACAGTCTCAATACCGCCACCGACACCGCCTGGCCTCTATTATACACTCATCTCCCTGCGGGTGCGAGGGTCTTCAATGGTGCATGTCAACGTGCGAAAATCTCTCTAAAGCACAAGCAAATTTTATTTGCTGCCAAAAATGTCGATGCTGGAAACGAAGCTGGAAATTTCCCCTATTTTGTGACAGTGCCGGTCTCCTGGTATGCCGCTGTCTCACCCTTAACCACATGACAGTGAGCATTTGGTGGACCTGTGTCCTGTAATGTGGTTGGGCGTGCTAGCAGCAGAGGACTCAGAGGTTAAGCAGGACTATAGGAGGCATTGACGCATAAACAGGACTACGAACACGGTTCTTCCGAGCATTTACATTTTTTACAAGCTGCTAATGTGGGCATGCATTCGGTTTGTGGATTTGGCAGGAGCCTGAAGCCCCATTTTGTTTGGGTTTTGCAAACATCGAACCCACATCTGTTATCGACTCTATGGAAGCCGAAAACACCGAGCGAGTACTCTTTCAGTGTTACAGAAGTTGTGCGTATTTACTCACCTAGCTATTTAACTGGTTTTTGTAGGAATAACACCTCTTAAAGCCTCTTTATGACGATAAACTGTAGGGGGGATTGAACCTCCACATCGTTTCTTTTCCGTGTAGAGTTTGCATTTTGCATAAAAGTTTGCATAAAAAGCAAATATTTGGACCTAAGGTTTAACAGACCAACAAAACAAATGTTGATACTTGGACCTAAGGTTTAACAGCCCAAAAAAACCAGCTACGTTCTTTTAGCCCAAGCTGCTTACAGCCGTACCGTGCCCAACTTTAAGCAAGTTTCAATCAATCAAGTTCCTCGATAGAAACCATCTGCAGGAAGCATCAAACGACAAGAAAAAGGGATAAAGGATGCTTTTGAGTACCACATGTGCTCTTACATTTTGTGCTCCAGCTGGCAGAAGGAGTGATAGCTCCCTTCTCCGCCGGGAGTGGGTCTGCCAAACAAGCTGCATCAACAAACTAAACCACTTTGAAATTAACACATTACATTGACATTGACAGCTTTATGCGTAGCATGCCAAATGTCGCGGTGAGTAAAACTGGATCTAGAGCCGACACCGCGAAGCAGTCAGACCCAGACCCAGATCCAGGTCCACATCCAGCACTGAGGCTGGAACAGTGGCTGCTCTTTCGTGATGGGAACATGGCAATCTGTCGTATTCTGAAGTATCTCTTGATGCTGCGTGCAGAATCGCACAAAAATGGAAGAAGCGCAAAAAGCCAATTTCCGTTATGTAGTCTAAGCAACCGAGTATATGGCAAACGGTTATGGCACTGGGGTGGAACGCGTTGCCTTTCACTATGGCACTGAAATTACCAATTCAAGTGTCAGGCTATGGCAAAACACTTCAAGCGGAATTAAATTCAGTGTTGATTGGACTCCCGACTAACGAGAGACTCGCGTGGCTGCTGCTGTTCCTTGGATTTAATCTGTTTCTAAGTTGCCTAAACCCATTAGTTAACCGGCAAGATGAAGGAAAAGGAAATTTGCCAGCCCATTTAATCACGTACCGACATTTGCCTCTGCCAGACTGCTTCTTGCTTCTTCAAAGAATTTTTTCAACTTACTCGAGTTTTCCTTTATTTTTGTATTTTTAAAATAATATTTGTACGAGCATAAGCTGACCCTACAGAATTTATGTTTGGGTTTATTAGTTAGAGGCTTGGGGAAGTGCAAGCACATCAAAAGGAAACTGTGCGGAAATATTTAAGGACGGACTGGTTTATTGGTATCTACAATTGGAGGCGTCGCAACGCGTCGCTCATATAGAACAGGTTTTGATTGGCCTTATCAATCAAACAATCTTTATAGTTACAATCTTTATAGTTACAATCTTTATAGTTACAATCTTTATAGTTTTCCCGAAAGCTTTTCTTATCATTCGAATGGCGCACCTTTAAGTTTATACTCGTATGTACCTAGTCAAACTTTTTTGATTATGAAATCAATTTTAAATTCTTGACCAAGACGGAGTATTCGACGGATCTTTTCGAAGATTGTCCAAACCCTAAACCAGAAACTCAAAACGTCTTAGCCATGACCGTCAGTAATGCCATTGTGACCCTTTCCTTGGGTTTTCATTGTATGCTCCTCTCCGCTCTCATACGCTCCAAAAAGAATTATATTAAACGAAATGTCTTCTTTTGTGGGGATATTCATCATTTGATTGCCATTTGATTCTGATTCTTATTCTGTCCTCTTGGCAATTTTCCCCGGTGAAGAAATATCCCAACAAAAGATTTTATGTGTCAGCAACTTGTTTATATGCAATAAGTTAACAGCAAATTAGCGATAATGCAATTTATTAACGACCAACTTCTTATTTTATTTTGTGTGTGTGTGTTTTCTTTTCTATTTGTAAAAATATTGACACTCGTGTTGCGGTTTGATCATGTCATAAATTTGTGGACTGTTTGGAAAAAAGGGTTCCAATTACTTCATTTTTACTAAATATATTAAAAAGATAACAAAGCTATCCAAAATATCACTTTATTGTGATACCCACATTTCAAGTACGTTTATTTTACCCTTTATTGGGTTTCGTTTAAATTTCTTTAAGTTGTAGTTCCCCAAAGATTGGGGTGCATTTGCAATTTCTTTCCTCCTCCACTGCAATGCGACCAATAATTTTTATTAAAATGTCAAAAGCCTAGCAATGAGCATTGGAATTAGTTTGGCAACGTAACATCCTCCTCTGAAGAAGAAGAGTGCCTTGCTTGCCTGGCAAGAGTTTCAATGTTTGCCACCCCATTGCAGTT